AAAGTCATGGCATGTCCCCTCTTTACCTTGGTGCTCGGTGACTTTCATATTGTGATGAGATAAGTTAACAGATCTTGATTTATATGCAAATGATGTTGAATGGAAGGACAGATGTTGAATGGAAGGACAGATGTTGAATGGAAGGACAGATGTTGAATGGAAGGACAGATGTTGAATGGAAGGACAGATATTGAATGGAAGGACAGATGTTGAATGGAAGGACAGATGTTGAATGGAAGGACAGATGTTAATACACATGACCATATTTTCAAGAATGTGAAATGACTAGCCTTTGCACACTTCTGTCTTTTTCTACTGCTCACAAGGCTACAGTGATATTTAGAGCCATTGTTTTTCACTATCTGCTCCATGCTCCCTTGGCTTTCAGAAGGCTCCTTGGTAGGTTGTCTTGGCTTTGCACAGTGGAGTAACCCAAATCTTCATCCTCTGAAGTTCTGGGGTGCTCAAAATCCTGTTTAAATTGGGTTGTTGTCTTTTTCAACTTTCTCTTGTGAAAAGATGTGTTAAGGTATAGAAGACCCTCGATGATAATTCTGTGTTCCAGACATTCTTTCCCTCCCTTCTTTGGTAAGGACTCTACCAAGGTCATCCTGAAAATCAGGATTAATTATCAAACAATATAGAAGTTCTCTTTGGCCCAGGGGCACAATCACCCAAAATGTTAGGTGCTGGTCTTTACTTCAAGGTCAATGAAATAGTGGTTGAATTTGAGTGCAAGTTTCCCTCCCATTTTATTCTTTAAGCCATTTGACAACATGATTACTGGGCAGGAAGAAATTTTATTTTTTGTCAACCACTAAGGTAGCAAGGAACATGTGTCATTCTTATTTCTATCCCTTGATTTCTGGTTGTGGGGAGAATAGTGACATACTGGACATTGTTTTTTTTTTATACAATATATTTTGATTATATTAATTTCTAAGTACATTTCAGGTCCAAAGAACATTCCCCTCCTGCTAGTACTATATATCAAAAAGTGTTCAAAAGTTATTTCTCTGGTTCTGGGACTCACAGCTGGAAAAGATATACTCAATAATCAGCAAAGGAGATAAGAATCAACAGACATTAAAGGATTGATATTGGCAGTCACCAGATCTCCCCCTACATAGGAGAAGTTTAATTTGAACTCAGTCCAAGTTCAAGCTTTACTTCCCGGTCAGTTTTCTCACTTTAATAGAGACCCTTATGGGTTCAGGAGATGAATTACTATTATAATTAAGACACAGGAGACAAGTGTTCTCATCTCATTACAGCAGAGAAGGCCCAGAATTGTTCTTATCTGAAGGAACTGCAGGGACAAAAAAGGGAGAAGAACATGAGAGAAAGGAGGTCCAGTGACAGGCCCAAATTGGGATCCAGTTCAAGGAAAGGCCTGGGGCTCTGACACTATTACTGATGCTGTAGTGTGCTTGCAAACAGGAGCCTAGCATGGTTCCCTCTGAGAGGCTCAACAAGCAGCTGGAATAATCAGATGCAATACTCGTACCCAACCAATGGACAGAAGCCAGGGATCCCTGTGGTTGAATTGGGGAAAAGCTGTAAGAAGCTAAGGAGGAGAAAAACCAGCAGTCTCAACTGACCTGAACCCCTGAGATCCCTCAGACACACAACCACCAACCAGGCAGCATACAGCAGCTGATGAGAACCCTGACACATATGTAGCAGAGGACTGCCTGGTCTGGCCTCAGTAAGGGAAGATGCACCTAACCCTTGAGAGACTTAAGGGTCCAGGGAGTGGGGATGCCTGGTGGGATGGAGGTGGGGGCTGAGAAGATCCTCTTGGAGAAGGGGGCAGGGTGAGGAGGTATGGGATGGGGAGCAGTTGGGGGGGCAGACAGGAAGGGGGATGAAGTCTAGACTGTAAAAAAGGGTTAAAGAATAAAAATAAATATTTTAAAATTTCCATTTTGTTCATGTTATCTGCCCATACTTGTGTAGTATGTATTACATTGTGGTTTAGGAGAAAAATCAGTATGTTTGGTGGTTTCAAAATGCAGAAATGTTAATGTGTATCGATTTTTTTTCTTTAAAAGGCATGTAAGCTTCTTTGATATTACTTAAGTTGTTAAATTTCTCCTAGGCATTTCTGTTAATGCTATTAATTTCACAGGTACATAATTAAATTAAGTTCTCTGTCTATGTAGTTTCTACCATGGACTTACTCACTTTAGAAAAACAAAAATCAAAAAGTAACTAAAATTTTTTAAAATAAAAGGTTTATCTGAGATATTTGGCTTTTGGAGAGACATAAATGTAAATGAGTAATATAAAATTGCACTGGGATCAAATTCAACTTTTCCAAACTCAAAAATCAAGATCACACTGATGTAATCTTCCTACAGGAAAAAAAAAAAAACCCAACCTTCTATTACTGCCTTGGGAACAGGCTGAACCTACCTTTGCCTTTGGCAAATAAAACAAATCAGGAAGCACATAGGAATAAAAACATTTATTTCCTTTTAAACTGTAGTATCTGAAACTGAACTCAGGCATGCTCAGCCTTAAGCTTTATACGTTTCATTTTGGTCATTCTTCAAATTAGTCAGTATTAATTAGCCACCATAGAACCCACAGACCTGCACACACTTCTACAGAATACATAAGGACATATGATGCTTAGCAACATCTTTAATAATATGTAATTCCATAGTCTACACACAATTCTACACGCCACTTTAATTGTTATTTACTTTATGTGTATGAACATTTTGACTGCATGTGTGTCTGTGCCAGAAGACAGCGTCAAATTACTTAGAACTAGAGATACAGATGGTTGTCAGCTGCCATGTAGGTGCTGGGAATCAAACTCAGGTCTTCTGCAAGAGCAGCCAGTGTTCTTAACCACTGAGCAATCTCTCCATCCCCTATACTCTGCTTTTATTATTTTATTATAAGGTTTTCTAAAGTTCTGTAGAATTCTCTAGGAACATAACTGACACAGAATGATCCTGTTATAATCAGAGCTGCTACATGGACTAATTGTTCACCTTAGTCTTTGCTTTTTCCACATTAATGGTTAACATTAATTCATTTGTTTATTGACTCAGAGTGCCTGGCTGCAAATCTTACCATCTGGATCATCCTAGGCTTTCTACTTCAGATTGAGGTGTTTAGTTGTTTAGTTTGTTTTGTAGGGTAGTTAAGAAAGAAAACAAGTGCTGATCACTACTTTAAACAAAGTATGTTCAGCTCATGTTAGCAATTATGAGACTGAGTTTGAAGAACTCAAGATTAGGGCTGGAGAGATGGCTCAGTGGTTAAGAGCACTGACTGCTCTTCCAGAGGTCCTGAGTTCAAATCCCAGCAACCACATGGTGGCTCACAACCATCAGTAATGAGATTGGATGCCCTCTTCTGGTGTGTCTGAAGATACCTACAGAATACTTATAAATAAAATAAATAAATTAATAAAAAAAAAAAAGATTCCTTCATACTTAAAAAAAAAAAAAAAAAAAAGAACTCAAGATTAAAATGAACTCAGAATTGGGGGTATTAAGTAAATTAAGATACACCTAGCTGCATGAGTTCTGAGAGAGTTCAGAATTCTGAGAAGAGAGAAGACAACTGTCAGATGTAAGGCAGTGAAGAATGTGTGTTGGAAAAAAGTATCTGTGAAGGTGAAGAAGCAGGCAAGTGTCAGCCTCAGGAGAGGTGACTTTGGTAGGACTCTTCTGAAGTGTCTTTTGCTTTTGAGTTTTCCTCGTTCACCTCAGAAAATCATGTTAACAGTCCAACATATGTTTTAGTTTTTCCCTTCTATGGTAGATATTTGTGGTGGTTTAAATGATGAATGTCCTCCATAGGCTCAGGGTTTTGGGAAAAGTGCTCTGTGCTTAGTAGTGTGGTTTGGGAAGGTGGTGAAGCCTTTCTGTGGGAAATGCACCATTCACAGTGGGATTTTAGAATTCAGAGCCTCACCCCAATTCCAGTATCTCTGCCTCTGTCTCTCTCTGTCTCTCTCTGTCTTTCTCTCTGTCTTTCTCTCTCTCTCTCTGTCTCTCTATCTCTCTCTGTCTCTCTGTCTCTGTCTCTGTCTCTCTCTCTCTCTCTCTCTCTCTCTCTCTCTCTCTGTCTCTCTGTGTGTGTGTCTCTCTCTCAGCATAATGCTTGTAGTTGAAGATATGAATTCTCAGATTCTTGCTCTATCCACCGTGCTTCCCTGCCATGATAGACATGAATCTCTCTGGAACCATAAGTGCAAATAAATTCTCTTTCTGTTAAGTTGTCTCGGTCACTATATTTTATCATAGCAGCAGGAAATAACTAACACATTTCATTCCTCCAACACAACCTGAGTAAATTTTATTGCACCAATACTGCTTTCTGCCATTGATCATAAGACTGTCAGTTCAGTAAATATTTGTGGAATTTGTTAAGTGATGGAAAAAACACAGTGTATCCTATTAGATATCTAGAAAGGGATTAAGATCTCATGTTACAAAAGAAAACACTGCGCTCAGGGAAGTAAAGTTACTGGCTGCATTATGTAGTGAGGCTGACCTCCATTTTAAGCTTCTTGAATCCAAGTTCAATGCACCTTACACCAGCACAATCACTGTAAGTCGTGATTGAATGGTGAAAGCAACAAGACCGGGGGTGGGGGGCACGTCAGAGTGTCCTGGCTTGGACATCCTGTAGGAAATTCTACTACATACTTTCACTGAGTTTCCCCTAACTAAACCTTCATAATTTGCCTATTTGTCATAATTTTCCATCCCTAAAATCTTAGCAATAGTACAAAATCCACTTCTAATGAACTTTTAATAAACTAAACCACGATCTCCTTGAATTCACCTTCTGTCCTCTCTTTTTGTAGCTCTTTCGCAAATATTTGTGAGCTGTGTAGATGAAGTGACACCTACCACTGTCACTTGATATGTCTTCCATTTCACTGCTTCCCAAAAGAGGTTGTTCAGGTTCATCAACTATGGTCTTGGAATCAAGCTCTGTTCACACCCATCTCCCTCCCACGAGTAGGTGGGGCAATCTTCCTGGGGTTTGCAGACGTGAGGGTGTTCAGTGAAAGTGAAGGACACCGGTGATCCAGAAGCTGTTGTACCATGAGTAGCTCTGCTCTGAGCTCCATCAGATTCCCAGGAAGCATCTATGAGGTCCTCCAAGTAGCCTCTGTGCTCAGCCTGCTTCTGCTGCTCTTCAAGACAGCCCAGTTCTACCTGCACAGGCAATGGCTACTCAGAGCTACCCAGCAGTTCCCATCCCCACCTTCTCACTGGTTCTCTGGGCACAAGGTAGGAAGGAAAGAGAAGGGTGGGTGGGAGAACATGGAGGATGAGGCTCTCAAAGAATCAAACTAATGAAACAGAGCTTGCTATAAAACAAACACAGGTTCTTCATGGGTCAGCCAGCTCAGGCTGGAACACATCTCAGGCTGGGCTTACTTACTCCAGCAACAGGGGCTCACTGCTCAGAAGAGCCTGGTCTTGCTATTGTCAGCTCTTCTGCTCACTTATGCAGATCTGTCATCTGTTCTGAGAGCCTCAGACTTGGGAGCTTGTGGTTGAGCCTCAGACTTGGGAGCTTGTGGTTGGTCCTATCTGAACTTTTTTCTTTCCAGGTTGAGCAACACCTGCAGCCTCACCTGTTCTAAATAAGCTGGGCTACTCGGTGGTTCCCTGTCCCCATTACTCTGTCATCCTCTCCCCCTGGCATAGAGCTTGTCTGAGAACATGGCTAGAATTGTGATAAAATCTGTCTTGTGTACAGTAATAACAGATAGGAATCACAGGAGATACCTGCTGTCCTAAAGGGAATCACCCTACTATTGGGTAAGGCGACTGACCCTATGTGTCTACCTAAGACTGGAAAAGCTGCCTCGGTAAACGATTTATAGGTTGAAATCCTGAGGGTCAGAAAAGTGTTTTTTTTTTTTCCAATGTGAGGGTCCATTGCTAGAGATGCACTGTTATTCAAAGTCTGTTTATTTATGGGCCCTTCTCCTGCATATTGTGTGTGTTCCATGTTGCTAAGAGCACTGTATACCTCAGTGCCCAGCCAAGAACCTGACACAATTGTACAGTCTCCAGAAATGAGAGAAAAAAGCAGCCTAGGGGTTGGGGAGGGCTTAAAACTGTCACCTCCAAGGGGATGAACATAGAACTAGGTCAAAGGCTGCAGGGAGAAACACATGACAAGGGTTGCATATTGACCACAGTTAGGATAAGTTATGTGGAATTTGAGCCAGAGCTGAGGTTCTGGGGCAAGATTCTGGGGAATACAGCTTTATCCAGCAGGACCACAGCATCTGGCTCAAATCAGTTCCTAGAAGAGAGTAAAGATCTGGATGACACCATAGATAGGCCATCAAGCTCTGCTCTGGTCCTAGGTTCTGTTAAATCATCTTCACTCTATCCCTGTGGTTGTTCTGCACTTTATTTAGAACTAATAACTAAAACAAAAGATTTTTTTTTGGATTTTACTCTGGAGGTTTTGTTTGTTTGGTTTTTGTTTTGTTTTGTTATTTGACAATGTCTTGCAAGGTAGCCCAGGTTGGTCTTGAACTCACTATGTAACCTATATTGGTCTCATATCAGCAGAGATCCTCGGGCTTCAGTGTTGTGTTAGGATTACAAACATAAATAACCACACCTGGCATGAAGTATTTTCAGTGATTCACTTTTCTGATATCAGGTCCCAAAGGACCAGGAGTTTCAAGATATTCTAATGAGGATAAAGAATTTCCCAAGTGCCTGTCCACATTGGCTCTGGGGGAGCAAAATGCGCATCCAAGTGTATGATCCTGACTACATGAAGCTGATTCTGGGGAGATCAGGTGAGAGTGAAACTCCATCACCGTTGAGGATCCTGAGCCCATGAAGTTACAGGAAGAGGTGGTGATTGAGTTACTAATGCCGAAACAGTACCTTCCGTTTTTCCTAGCATACGCACAGCAATATTTACTTAATACTTGTTTATACTTAGTATTATGTTAAAAGAGTAGTATGGATCCAATCCACTTACCATTTTTGAATCAAATCAGGGTATTCAGTTATATATAAAAGTTCATATGTATACTGACTTGCATTTGAATCTTCTAATTGTTTCTGTTTTGTATCATGGATAACCAAGGCACCGAAGTAAAACCAACCACAAGGCTTTTATTCCTTGGAGTCAAGGACATGATAACCTATGTTGCTTGCTAATTTACCATTCTAATCCTGGGGATGATTAGCTTCTGGTGAACGGAGGTTGCATTCCTAAGCCAAACTGTCGAGGTGGATAGAAGGGGATGGAAGACATTGGGAGGTAGCATGAGGCAAACTGCCGAGGGGCAGTAATCAAACTTTCATGTCTTTCTCTGGTCTTATCTACAACCATCTTTGTTTCTAATTAATGCCTCACTTTTTTTTTTCAGACCCAAAAGCTCATGGTTCTTACAGATTTCTAGCTCCCTGGATTGGTATGTATAGCCATATAAATGTCAATTGTGGTCACTCTCCACTTGAGTTTGTCAAGAATGTTATCTTGACTCATTGAGAACAATGGGAGATTGGCCATGATCTTCAAGATGTAATGTTTCATTTAATCTAGTTTCTTTTCTAACCAGACATTAACCTTCTCCTTGTGTTTCTGTATCTCCTATTTACAAACATTCTCAGCTTGACATGTATATGATCTTCCCTCATGATTTTGAATCTTTATCATGATCACATCTATCACATTGTATGTATCAGGCTGCAGCACTGTTAGCTCCAGCATACGGGTGTGGGTCCTGTTGGGTGGAGTTGAGTGTCTGCCTTGGCTCAGGGAGGCAGAAGCTTGGGAATTTGACTGAGTTCACTCCAGGAGGGCCGGGTGGATGCTGCGGGGCTCCACCTAGGTGTGGAGAGGTCTCAGCCAGAAGTCTCCAGGGGGCAGGGCTCCTGAGTGGGGGTCTCCAGGCCTAGATGGCTGACCTGGAGGCTGGTGGTCTCTGTCGGGCTCCCAGATGCTGCCAGGAGCCGTGGAAGAACTGAGATGCAAGGGCATATGGGCTGGACAGGCCTGCAGCCAAGAGAAACAAGGGGGGAGAGAAGCCCCAGCAGCACCCCACAAGTCAGAGACTCTTGGTTATGGCACTCACTTGGCTGGCTCGGCTAGCTTGCTTGAGTCAGCAGGCCTCCACGGCTGAAAAAACGTAGAGAAATCCTCAGCGGGAGATTAAGCAGCAGCTCGGTAGTCTAAGGCCTTCTCCACAGTTCCCCACGGTGGGGTCCCTAAGACATGAGGAAGTCCATGATTTTAAAAGGTTTATTGTCATGGCAGAAAGTGAATGTGGCTGCACCCTCCATACCTCCAGGGCAGCCTTTGGTTAAATACTGTTTGGAAGAAACGTTTAATTGGCTATGTCCTCTGGCCTTCAGGTATCTCATTAATATGGAAATCTCTTGAGGCTAAGGCCTGTAGTCATGCCCTCTACCTGTGCTGGGTGACAAAGACCTCTCTTTGGGAGGGGCTGTAGAAGGCTGAAGCTAAGTGAAAGGAACCAGGGCCCAGGAGCAAAGCTGAACACCTTCTGTCCCATTAGGGTCTGGGGTTCGAGGCCTGTGCTAAACCAAGCACCCAGCTGCCTCTCACAGCCCACCGCCCCATACCAGGCCAACTGGGAAAAACGTATTGAAAAGTACTAGTCTTTTCCACACTTACTTGTCTTCCTGTTCCTCCAAGACCTCCAATGTTTGTCTCTCCAAACTGCCCCCAGTCTTCTAAATCTTATTGCTCACACTCTCCTTCACATAACCATCTCTGTACAGGGTATGGTTTGCTTCTGCTGAATGGACAGACATGGTTCCAGCACCGAAAAATGTTGACACCAGCTTTTCACTATGACACTCTGAAGCCTTATGTGGGAATCATGGCAGACTCTGTTCATATAATGCTGGTGAGTCTTCTGTGTGTGCATGCACACACTCACATCCCTCTCTCCCTCTGTCTTTCACTCTCATGCCTACAACCCACTCTGAACACAAAGTCAGATTCTACTCTTTACAATAAAAACCCATCAGTCATAGTCACATTAAATAAAAACTCATAATGTGAAATAGGTTCCTCAAAAGTCAAGGAAAAGGGGGAAGGGCATAGGGGAGGAGAAGAGAGCAGCGAAGAGGAGAAGAGAGGGAAAAGGAAGGAAAGGGAAGGGAAATGAATGGAAGAAAAGGAAAGAGAAGGGAAGGGAAGGGAGGGGAGGGGAGGGAGGAGAGGAGAGGAGAGGAGAGGAGAGGAGAGGAGAGGAGAGGAGAGAAGAGAAGAGAAGAGAAGAGAAGAGAAGAGAAGAGAAGAGAAGAGAAGACAAAAGAGAAATCATAGTGGGAACATAGCCAAGTCTAACAGCATGCTTGATGAATGGTGAATCCTGGCAGACCACAATGTTAGCTGTCCATCCTCCTTGAATGTCCTGGAAATAGCCACTTCAGTGATCAGGTCTACTCCCCAAAATGTCACTCTGTCCAGGGGCCCCAAACATCTGCATAGAATTGAAAGACACAAACTGTGAAATGCACACCTGGGCCACATTCTCACAGCCAAACATTATATACCACCATACCCCTTATGACTCTAATTTCTGACTTTATAGTGCTTATTAAACTTTTGATAAATGAGAAAGAGTTAAAGACTAAAATTATACTCATTAGAAACACATAGGCAGGCCCATAGGCTTTCTTTTCCTTGACTATTTTATTCTCATATTTGAATTTCCATTAGTTCTTTTGAGTTTCATTAATCTACTAGAAATATGAAGCGTTCTCCTACGTCACCTTCATCAACTAAAAAGTTGTAACTGATTTACAAAATTAAAAGTGAAGGTATATTTAATTTTTTTTTCTGAGAAATAGGTATGAGATATTTATTCACACTTAATTTTCTAAAGGATGTCTGTATTAGTCACTTCTGTTGTTGATGTGATTTAAGACCTGACAAGAGGTGCCAAAGAAAGGAAAGGTTTATTTTTGCTCACAGTTCTGAGGAATATAGTCTATTGAGGTGGAAAAAAACATGAGTAGTTGTTTCATGATCCCAACCAGGAAGAAAGAAAGAAAGAGGAGGACCAATATTTCCTTAAATTTCTCCTTTTCCCTTTCTATTTAGTCTAGAGCCCTAGCCCATGGAGCTGTGTTCTCACTCACAAAAGTTCTTACTCCCTAAATTGATTCTATTCTAATGCTCACACAGAGACAAAGGTGTGCCTCAGTAACGCCCTTGGTCGGTCTTTTCTTTCTTTTTTTTCTTCTTCCTTCCTTCCTTCCTTCCTTTTTCTTTCTTTCTTTCTTTCTTTCTTTCTTTCTTTCTTTCTTTTGTTCTTTCTTTCTTTGAGGGGAAGCCTAAAATATATTATTTATTATATTTTTATTATTTAAAGCAATGTTTATCTGTTTTAGCATCTGAAGAACTTATTCAGCATAGCTGCAGAGGCATGGTCTTCACACTGCCACACACAGACACAAACACAGATGTAGCACAATATCCACACTTAGCCCAAGCACATTCCTTTTGAGGCTCATTTATGTATCTTCATATGCCACAGCACATCATTTAAATAATGGATATTTTCAATGCTAAGTTCCTTTGTTGACTTTCTCAAAATCTTCTGCAGATATCTTCAGGACTTCAAAACATAAAACACGTTTCTTTCCTTCTGCCATGATTGCAACAATAGTATCTTCTGCAGCAGGGTAAAGCTTAGACCGGGAGAAGATAACCCTGGATATATGCTATTTGCTCCACTAAGTACAAGTTTAATGACTCTTTTATTAATATGCTGATGTGATAAGATAAAAGTAGCTTTGATTTGCATTTCCCTGATGGCTAAGGATGTTGAAAGTTTCTTTAAATGTTTCTCAGACATTTCAGCTTTCTCTATTGAGATTTTTTTTAGATATGTACACCATTTTAATTGGGTTATTCAATTTTTGATATCTAGCTTCTTAATTTCTTTATATATTTTGAATATTAGCCCTCTATTAGCTGTATAGCTCTTTTCCCATTCTGTACACTATCATATTATCCAAATGATGGTGTCCTTTGCAATGGAGAAGATTCTCAGGTTCATGCGGTCTCATTTATTAATTGTTGATCTTAGTGCCTGTGCTAACAGTGTTCTGGTCAGAGAACCTTTTCCTGTGCCAATAAATTCAAGACTATTTCCCATTTTCTATTCTATCAGGTACAGTGTAATTTTTTTTTATGTTGAGGTCTTTTTATGTAGGCACTTAGTACTGTAAACTTACCCCCTTAGCACTGCTTTATTGTGTCCCATACGTTTGAGTATATTGTGTGTTCATTTTCATTCAACTCTAGAAAGACTTTGATTTCTTTCTCAATTTCTGTCTTAACCCATTTTTTTTTTTGTCATTCAGTGGGTTATTCAGTCTCTATGAGTTTGTAACTTTTCTGTGTTTCTATTGTTGCTGATATGCAACTTTAACCTGTGCTGATCAGATAGGATGCAGGGTGTTATTTCAACCTTCTTGTATCTTTTGGGACTTGTTTTGTGTTCAAGTATGTGGCCAACTTTGAAGAAAGTTCTGTGAGGTGCTGAAAAGAAGGTCTATTCTTTTGTCTTTAGGAGAACTGTTCTCTAAATATGTTAGGTCCATTTGATTTATAATGTCAGTGAGTACCAGCATTTCTCTGTTAAGTTTTTGTGTGGATGATTGGTGAGTGTAGACTATTAAAGTCTCCCACAATCAGTGTGGTAGTATCAATATGTGATTTAAGCTGTAATAATGTTTCTTTCATACATTTGAGTGCTCTCATGTTTGGGGCATAGATGTTAAGAATTATAATGTCATCTTGATGGATTTTCCTTTGATGAGTATATACTGTCCTTCTCTAGCCCTTCTAATTTTTGTTTGACGTTTATTTTGTCAGATATAAAAATTGCCACACCAGTTTGTTTCTTAGGTGCATTGGTTTGGGATAACTTTTTCCAACCATTTACCGTGAGGTGATATTAATATTTTTTTTGGATACAGCAGAAGTATGGATCCTGTTTCTACATCCTCTCTCTTAGTCTTTTTATTGGGGGAATTCAGATAGTTGATGTTGAGAAATATCAATGATCAATGATTTATGATTCCTGTTATTTTGTTGTTGCTGCTGCTGGTTGTGGTAGTGGGGTGTGTGTGTGTGTGTGTGTGTGTGTGTGTGTGTGTGTGTGTGTGTGTTTGAGAGTAAGAGAGACAGAGACAGAGAGAGCATATTGTTTTCCCTTTTTTGACTTTGCTGGTTTGAGATTATTTATTCCCTGTGTTTTCTTGGATGTAGTTAACCTCTTTAGTTTGGTGATTATTTTCTAGCACCTTTCACCAGGCTGAATTTGTAGAAAAATATTGTTTAACCTTGCTTTTACCATGGAAAGTCTTATTTTTTTTCATCTGTGGTAATTAAATTTTTTCTGGATATAGTAATCTGGGTTAGCATTTTTGGTCTTTTATAGTCTGCAGGACATTTATAAAGGACCTTCTGGCTTTTAGAGTTTCCATTAAGATTTCAGATGCAGTTCTAATACTTTATATGCTACTTGGTCTTTCCCTCTTGTAGCTGTTAATATTTTTTCTTTGTTCTTTACATTCGGTGTTTTGATTTTTGTGCTGAGGGAACTTTCTTTTCTGGTTCAGTGTATCTGGGGGTTCTGTATGCTTTTTATACTTTGATAGGCATCTCCATCTTTAGGTTAGGGAAATTTTCTTCTATGATTTTGTTGACAATATTGTCTGAGTTTGACCTGACTTTTTTTTCTCCTTCCTCTGTTCCTATTATTCTTAGATTTGGTCTTTTCATGGTACCATAGATTCCTTGGATGTTTTGTACCAGGATATTTTAGATTTGACATTTTCTGTGACTGATGTCCATTTCCTCTATTGTGTCTTCAATTCCTGAGATTCTTTTTTTTCCATTTCTTCCATTCTGTTGGTGAGTCTTGCCTTCCTGATTCCTGTTGGAATTCCTAAATTTTTTATTTACAGATTTTCCTCAGGTTTTTTTTTTTATTGATTCTATTTTCACTTTCAGAGCTTGAGTGGTTTTGTTCATTTCCTTCCACTTATTGTTTGTGTTTTCATAGATTTCTTTAAGGGGTTTATTTGTTTCCTCTTTAAGGACCTCTATTGTATTTGTAAAGGGCATTTTAAGGTCTTTTACTTGTACTTTAACTATATTGGAATATTCAGGACCAGCTGTGGTAGAATTGCAGAACATATTGTCCTGGCTGTTATTGCTCATGGTTTTATGCTGGCAGCTAGGCATGTGAGATTCGGAAGATTATAATTCTAGGTGATGACACCTGGTCTTGACTTTGTTGAATAGGTGTTTTATTCCTCAGTTTCTGTTTCCTCTCTGGTTTTTAGGAGAATTCTGTGGCTGTCCTTTGCCTGTTAGAAAATCTTTTGGGGTTCTGATAGGTATGGGCAGTGGGGGTTCCAGGTAAAATCTGTTTCTGAGTATCGGGACCTGGGACTTAGGAATAGAGGTGGGCTTTAAGGGCTTTACAAGATGGAGGAAAGCAGGGTGTTCCACCAGGCTGGGAGACGAAAGTGAGGAGAATCAAAAGCAGGATCCTGTAAGGAGCTGGGCATGAGATTAGGGGATTGGACTTAGAGGAAAGGAGGAAGAAGTGAAGATCTGCAGAGGAGAGTAAACATATACAATTAGCCTACCTACTTCCCTGGTCAGAACAATCCTATATTCACAGGGAGTCCCTTTGGTGTTTCTTAATTTAACTAAGTTGAGAATGAAAATGAGCCATCACAACAACTGATACAGGGAGTCATAAAATCATATCTAGAGATGGAGGAAATGAGCCTGTTCTAGTTAGCACCAGCCTTTTGGGAGACTTGGAGTCAGTTCTCTACTTCCACTACAGGATAAATGGGAAAAGATTGTTGGCCAGGATTCCACCCTAGAGATCTTCCAGCACGTCACTTTGATGACCTTGGACACCATCATGAAATGTGCCTTCAGCCATGAGGGCAGTGTCCAGTTGGACAGGTGAGTATCCCTGAACCATAGAGTCTTTGCTCTTGTCAACTAATGTGGCTTCACCTGAGAAGCATATGGAACAGCTTAGATACTAATATCCACAAAACACAAGATTCTCTACCCTGCCTCAGATATATCACTGGTTTCCAGACAGGTAGAAGCCTGAATGGTCATGCCATCTTCTAAAGACATAGTGGTTACAAGGGTTATAAGACAGAAACAACATACATCCTAGTGTTATCTCTGTCCAAATTAAGGGAATTACCACTCTGTCTCTGGGTCATATCTTCTTATCACTGATCTGTTCTGTTGTGTTCACAGAAAATACAAGTCCTACATCCAGGCAGTTGAAGACCTGAATAATCTCTTTTTTCTCCGTGTGTGTAATATCTTTCACCAGAATGACATCATCTACAGTGTGTCCTCTAATGGCCGCCAGGCCAACAGTGCCTGCCAACTTGCCCATGATCACACAGGTTCTGTCTGTTTCTTTTCTCCGCCCTCTTTTACCAGAGTCAGCCTAAAGATACCAACCATAATCTCTGAGGCAGAGCCAGGTCCTTTGTTCCTCTGAAGGATGAAAGATGAATTCAGGTTGGGTACTTTCCTAGTACAAGGAAGCTAAGATATAGGATACTGGATGATATGTAGGGCTTACCTGGGGTATCACATTGGTGATATTAAATGAAACCGTCCCTGCAGGATCCAAAAAGATCTTCTCCAGTTGTTATCCCTAGGGGCAGCCTGATCTCTTTCAGGTATCCTGGCCTCTCACACCTTACCCACCCTTGACCATAAGCATCCTGGCCTCTAGGGGGAATAGATGTGAGGAAAGAGGGCACATGGGCCTCTTAGGAGGTGAGCTTTCATCTCAGCCTGGTAACTACTATCCTTGGACAGACAAAGTGATCAAGTCAAGGAGGGCTCAACTTCAGGATGAGGGAGAGCTGGAAAAGGTTAAGAAGAAAAGGCGATTGGATTTCCTGGACATCCTCCTGTTTGCCAGAGTGAGTGTATGAAACCAGATGAGAGACTTGAGACTTGATCTAGAATCACAGAGCAAGAAACAAACATTACTCTCTCATTGGTGGCTTTATCCAGATCGAAAATGGAAGCAGCTTATCTGATAAGGACCTTCGTGCTGAAGTGGATACCTTCATGTTTGAGGGCCATGACACCACAGCTAGTGGTATCTCCTGGATCTTCTATGCTTTGGCCACAAATCCTGAACACCAACAGAGATGCAGGAAGGAGATCCAGAGTCTCCTAGGAGATGGAGCTTCTATCACTTGGTGAGTGGGAGCTCAAGATGGATGAGATTTCTATCTTTTGGTAATGGGAAACTCCTGGTTGTCCCAGCTCTGTGTGACTTTTGGATGTGCCTCAATTCAGGGACAACCTGGACAAGATGCCCTACACCACAATGTGCATCAAGGAGGCCCTGAGACTCTACCCACCTGTACCAGGTGTGAGCAGAGAGCTCAGCTCACCTGTCAACTTCCCAGATGGACGCTCTTTACCCAAAGGTATGGACTCCCCAGACCAGCTCAGCAGGGGCTAAGAAGAATGGGAATTCCATGATTCTTCAGCAGTTTTGAATTAGTGAAATCTCTAATGGATTTCCCATACCTTATCAGTAGTGATAAAAGGATTTTTACTTTAAGTTAGATTGTAGTGTGTGAAGTGCTTTGCATACAGTTAGACTTCAGAAAAATCTCAGGAAATAAAGGCCAACCTCTATATTGAACTTCAGTCTTTAGTGATTAGTCGCTAAATTATTACTTGATGCAAAAAAAAAAAAAACCTAGTTAAGTGTTAGGAAGCTATGTTTTTTTCTACAGATGAAGGCAAATGAGAAATTTCAGGGACTTCCATGTCATGGATGAAACATATTCCACTGTCTGAGGATCCTTCAAGTTGATAGCAGATTTCAGCTGATGACCAGATCTTAGTTCCGTATCATGGTATAAAAATACACACTTAATCACTCATCATTGGGCATGATTTTCCCTTGTGCCACAGTGAAGCTGTGTTAACAAGAAAAGATAATCAGTCTTGCTGAGGTTCCAGAATCTCATCTAAAAAGAGATATTTAGTTCTTGGGAGCTGCCTATGAATGTTGAGTGTGGCAAAGGCTCACGAAAGGCGTTTGATGAAAGAGAGTTATCATTTACTTAATATAACATTGATTCCCAAATGCTTTCTTGTTCTCACACCTAGGCTCATGGTTTTAGGTAAGTAACTCACGCTCAGTGCTTTACCAACCCTACCCTACTTCTCTGTGATTAAAATGATGATTCCAGCATGCAGACCATTTGTGTGCATATTCTCTGCTGAATATGGGAGTTAGTGCCCTACCCATTGGCATAATCATTCATTCTTTGTTCCACTCACCCCACAGGTATCACAGTCTTGCTCTCCTTTTATGGCCTTCATCACAATCCAACTGTGTGGCCAAATCCAGAGGTAAAATGGGCGATAGGAAAAGGTCAGGGAAAGATTTCTCAGGGCCAACACTTCCCTCTACTCTCACTCCTGGACATTTGGTCCCTTCATGAGTGGAAAGCAGGAGTTTGAGTTCCACCTGCCCTAAATTTGGTATTCACATTGCAGGTATTTGACCCTTCTCGATTTGCACCAGAATCTTCCCGACACAGCCATTCATTCCTGCCCTTCTCAGGAGGAGCAAGGTGAGGTGTCCATTGGTCCATTGTGTGTAATGAATGGAGGAAAGGGTAGTCTCTGGGTACATCTCTACTGTCTGTGATTCCCTAAGTTCATATGTGACATCTTCAGGTGTTTATAGGTGTGAGGGATTTTCTATGTCCCCCGAAGGAGTTGGTATTTAAAGGAGCAACTGGGGGAGGGAGGTTGGCAGGCTATTCTTCCCAAAGGACATATAAGTTTGCATCAGTGTGTATTTCCAACTTCAGTGTATGTTGACATTTTCATTCATTTCTAGAATATGATCTTCATACTTAGGTTTTCTCATGCAAACTAGCTCTCAGGTATTTGTTTCCCTCATCTGTTATATATCTTAAAAGATGAATGTACATCCCCATCACTCTCAACCTATCCTACTACCTCTGTTTAATTCATCAATCAGTTATAGTTTTATAGTTTGATGACTATAAAAACATTTTTGTGTTTTTAGAATTGTGTTGCAGCCATGTATGGAAAAGTCGAGAGCTTATTGTGGTAGGGTGGGCACCAATGAGTCTTCTTCTATATAGTTTTTATTTCTAGCCCAACAAAATTTCGACTGCATATTAAGATATCTAGTTTCCCAAAGAACAAAATTTAGAGAGATATTTACATTGCAGAGCTGTGATCCACTTACCAGTTTTGGAAAATGGGGAGAATACATTAGACACAACTTATCTATAACCTGTACTAGTGTTTACACTAACAAACATTTCTGAAATAGCTGTTAGCTAGAATGTTACAGTGCAGAGAGCTGCTATGAATTGTGTAAAGGCTGAAGGACTCAATCTTCTTATGGAATGCGAATTGCCAAGGAAGTAATGAAGACAAAAAAGGCTTTCTCTGTCCACAATTCTATGATTTCTACCATGCATAATCAATTATCACAGAGCAGGCTATAAACATATTGTTTATCTAGGATAAGTTTATCTAGGGGTGAACACTTCCTCTTAGGGTTCAGTTAGAAATCATGATGAGGTCATTGACAAATAGAATAGAAGCAGATAGTTCAATTACCATGAAAAATTTACCCTATATGTTCTCTAATGCATTTTTATTTTTTAAAATTAGTAAAATAAACACACAAAAGTATTTATTAAAATTATTTTTTCCTCTGGGCCAAGTCCTATACTGTGACAAAAGTGCAGAGACATAGGGTCCTGCTTCCAGTTCATCAGCAAGAACAGAAAGCTGGTCTGCAGAATCAGCAACACCTGTGTGAAAGAGACATCATTTCTTTCTTCTTTGATACTTTCCTTTCTCACTGAGAAATTAGTAGAATGATCGACATTCCTGGCACTGTCCTAAGCTCTGGACTGAGCTGTGGCCTCCAATGAAGCACACCAATGGTACACCTTGGCAGAAGGATGAGGACTAGTTGCTCAATATTCTGAGCCTTGAGCATATGGAAGGAAGAGACAGAGATAGAGACAGACAGAGACAGAGAAAGGGATGGTGAAGGAGAAAGACAGAGATGGAGAGAGGGGCAGAGAGGAAGAAAGACTGAGGGGGAAGATGGAGAAAGAGAAGAGAGAGGAGGAGAGTTTCTCTTTGGCCTCAACATTTGCTGAGATAAATAGGGGCTGGAAAGGTAGGAGGTGTGGCGGCAATAACTTACAGGAGGTGTGGCTGCATCTGAGCCATCATCTATTAGTTTGGAAGAATAGGAGGGTCAATATGAAGAGAGAGAATTCGGGGGAACCAGTGAATTACAGACAGAAAACTAAGGGAAGCATACAGGGATGAAATAGAATTAAAGCCATATGAGTGCTTGTGGAGTGAGGAGGAACTGGAGTCGGACCACTGAGTGGGAGGCAGATAGGCAGGAGCTTGAGGATCCCTACCTCATATGTTTTCTAGGAACTTCTTAATCAGCATTTGGCTCCTATGTTAGAACCATGTTGACTTTGTCCCCAAGACAGAGATTCCTAAGAGTATGATCCATCCATCTTCATGTTGCCCTGACCAGTAAAATCCGTACTGGTGGATCAGAAACTCCTAATATGGGGAGTCAGCTAGCCAAAGACTGCTATTAAGAGAGCTGGCCCTAACTAGCTGATTCCTTGCCTTTCAAAGCAGAATTAGAGCCAGTCTCAGAAAAGAGGGGTATTTGTAAAAGATTAAGACAGCAAGAAAGGGTATGCATGACAGAAACCTAGCATAACTGTGCTCTGAGAGGATCCACTCGGCAGCTTACTGAAACAGATGTGGAGACTCAAAAATCAAACATTCAATGGAGCTTGATTGAGGGCTCCAAAGAGGAACTCCAGAGGAAGATGAACAGAATAAACTAACCTTGACCCTTGGGGGCTCTCAGAAACTGAATCACCAACTGAAGAGCCTACACAGGCTGTAATGAATGCCCCACCCCCAACACATATGAGGCAGATGTGTAGATCTGACTTCATGTGGGTATCGAAACAACTGAGCAGGGGCTATTACTAAAGCTATTGCATGTCCGTGGAATATGTTCTCCTAACTGGGCTGCCTTGTCTGGCCTCAGTGGGAGAGAATATGCCTAATCCTACAGAGAGTTGATGTGCCAGAGTAAATGAATAATAGGAGGGGGAGCTCAAACCTCTCAGAGGAGAAGGGGATGGGGTGGGGAATGGGGAAAGGGAGTGTATGAGGAGGAACACGGAGGGTGGCAGTGGGTTAGGTGGTTATATGGAAGAGTTTGGAAAGAGAATAGGAAAGGGAGAAAGGTTGTAATTATATTATAATCCCCAAAATAAAAAATATAAGGAAAAACAAGACAGCAAGAATTAAGGTCCAAGGTAAAGTTATATGTGTGTGACTTGGAAGGAAAGAGGTCAGGCTGAGTCCTATTATAGAGTGCCCTAGATGTCCAGTTCTATGCTAGGACACAGAGGGCAATGCCTGCACAGCTCACAATAGAACCCAAGGCCATTTATTTTATTGTAATTTTCTGACCCAGGAACTGCATTGGGAAACAGTTTGCCATGAATGAGCTGAAGGTGGCTGTGGCCCTGACCCTGCTCCGCTTTGAGTTGCTGCCAGATCCCACCAGGGTCCCCATCCCCATTCCAAGACTTGTGTTGAAGTCCAAGAATGGGATCCACTTGCGTCTCAAGAAGCTCCAATAATCTTCACAGATCAAGACAACTCCAATGGCATGCTGCCTACCATCTTATCTTTCTGTCACTCACTCTTGTCCCTAGTCCATCTGCTCACATCTCCTTTCTTCTCACCTTGTTCACCTCCACCCACCTTCTGCTGTGCTTCCAGTCTCCTTGTCTGTCAGTCTTTCTATCTCAACTTCTTCTGGAATCCCTACTTGCTTTTCTCTCTACCTGTCCCCTACCTGACTACATGTTTGACCTTTGACCTTAATGATCTCCCTAACTTGCACTCTGCCTTTTCTTCTGTGTATTTCCTTCTATTCTACTGCTTGACTATCCTTAAATTGAGCTTTATACTGATGTTATAATTAATTACAAGAGAAGTATGTGCCCTTATGGTTCTACATATCAGGTGTTTTTCATGATTTCACTAGAATGAAGGTCATTGCATTGCCATTACCCCCTTGGTTATTGCTATGCCTCTTCTTATATTTCCCATCACCTACAGCTGAATTCCTATGTTTCAAGAGCCCCCCTAAGTGTTAAAATCCAACATAGTCTTTAAACATCTCTTATTCTATCTCCAGGTTATCTCTCCATCTTTCCAATGTGGTTACTTTGTGCCTAAAGTGGTAATACTGGGCCTGTTCTTAGTTCTATCAAGATGAGGACATGCATATCTGAAAGAGCCATTTTTCAACCAACGTAACACAGTCCTTCCATGACTGTCACCTCATCTATCATATAAATCTCTTCTTCAAATTCTCCTTCTGCCAGCTTACCTTTTAAGAGTCTTGCCATGTTGTCTCTCCCCTGCCATAAAGTTCATAAGGTGGCATGTTGTTCCTATACTCTTTGGAGGAGAGGGAGGGAATAGAGAGAGACTAATGGGAAGAGAGACTTCAGGAGGTTAGGAAAGAAGGTGACATATGCTCTCTTGGTATTATGTTCCAGATTGGCAATATGGATCTCACATGTTTCTGGAGGCCTCATCCATGTGATATTTGGTATCTACATTCACACAACTGTAGGATTCCTGTGTAATTGAGTTTAGACTACAGGCTCTTGTCATGCATCAAGTCAGAGCCACTTTTGAGATGAGCAAGAAAGGCTTCAGGTTTGGCCAGTCACATGAACATCAGGAATCTTGCTCTTTACAATACTAAAGAGATAGTGTACCTTAGCCATCCCATGATCCAGCTTGCCTCACACAAGTATTTAACAGTTCTTCAGAAGGCTTGGAGAATGCAGCTGCTCAGAAGGGCAAATAGGCCTTACTACTGGGAGATCCCAAGCAGATCCTCCCATCCAAGTCTACTTGGTAATCCCCTGCCCCCTCTCTCTGACAATTCTGAAAGAGAAAGGACCTCATCAATCCTGCCCATAGCTGATTACTGCCAGAACATTGTGGCTCATGATCCTTGAGAGTGTGGCATACAAACATAACCCATGCATTTGCAATAAGTTCCCTGGGATGTTGCTTCAGCTTCTAACATCTCACTTGGCTTTGAACTGCTTTCCATGTTTCTTATAAACACCAGTTTCTTGTTTTTCCAAGTTACTTATAGGTCAGAACCTTGGATGCCATAGACAGAACTCTCTGAGTCCCTCTGCCTCAGATATGATGTCACTTTCTGCTTCCCTGAGTGGGTTTGACCCTACTTGTACTACCTTTAGGCAGGACATTTCTCCCAGTTCCTCCATTTTTCAGGTAGTTAGATTAGTTCAGTTCTGAGAAGGGATAGAAAAGGGAAGTGTGTGTGTCAGTAGTTGGCCTGAAGATTGAGGCAGAAAAATGAGTTGAGAATGGACAGGGTATTGGCAATTACTTGGCATCATATGATGAAGTTCAGTATGGCTATGCTTAGAGGACAGCCAAGGCATCTCACCCTCATTATGACCTAGACCTGTGAGTGAAAAAAGGACCTGAACCACACAAGAGCAAGTGTCAGTATTCAAGCACAAGGTGAACAGGACAGGTGGTGACCTGACATTGACCCAAGAAATGGAGAAGTTGAGCAAGTGAGAGGTAAACAATGCTTACTTTGTACGGGGCGACCTGGGCCCTATGTTACATACACAGAACAACTAAAAGTAGACTGGAGAGTTAATTAGCCCACATCATGCCAGAAGATATGCTCACCACAAAAAATAAGAACATACAGAAAAGTCCTATGCTTAATAATAAAACTGCATAACCTATGCCAACATCAGGCATAAAGCTATAACAGAAACGTCATCATAGAAAATGTGTATATGACTAATGGATGCACAAGAACAAATGCTCCACTGGATTTAGGCATCAGGAAATGAGAATCAAAAGTGGATCAGATAACCTGTTGAGTGATTGTCATACTATATTTAGGGAAAATAAAAAGTGTTAGACAAAATGTGGCTAAGTTGGAGCTCTTTTGTGTTACAGGTAAAGCTCAATTGGTACTGCTACTTGGAATCCAAGACAGCTCCTCTAAAGTCTATAGTACATTTGGCAGTTAGCTCACTCCTGTGTAGTCACCAAAAAGAACTAAAGCTAAAGTAAAGACTTGAGAATTTATATTTGTTGCAGCATCATTTGAAACGGACATGAGATAAAATTTAAAAGAAAATACCTATCAACAGATAAACTGATGCCAATAATTGGCATATAGTATATATAGTACAATAATTTATACCAATTATATATTATATATACCTATGTATACCATCTATATATGATGATAATGCCCAAAGAGATATGAGAGAGAGCTAACCTCTTTACTTGCATAAATTTTATAAGTTTGTAAGAAATCTTTTTAACGTAAGTCGTCTGTCACTTTTCTGTTCTTACATGAGAGTAATTACTAAGGACTGCTGTGTGCTGTAGCAGGAAATCATAAGAGCGGTGCCAAGCTACTCATGAAGAGAGAGCTATGTAAACCTATGAGGAAATGTGCTTTTGCTTTCTGTCTAGTTTCTGTTTTAAGTAAGCAGAGGTTAGAACTAATGATTCAGAATTCATAGAATTTACGTAAATTTTAAAACTTCAAAAACATTGTTAACAATGACAAAAGCCTTGATGGTGTAACATTAGTCAATAAAAGACTGGGTTCAGACTCTCTGATTGGGAGAAGTCCAAACCATGAGAGGGGAGAAGGAAAACGAATGATTAGAGAGGGAAAGGCAAAAGAATGATAAGGAAGAAGAAGGAAGGAGAATAAGGAAGAGTGATGAGAATCTTCAAGGAACAGAGAGAGTACCTGAACTGACAGCTTGCATCTACTACTCACTCTGAGTCATTACTGAATCAGTTCCCATTCATGCCTTTCTCAAGTCCCTCTTGAAATTGATCCTGATCAGGTCACTTGTCACATTCTCCCTCATCCCTGTCATCCTCCCTCTCTTCCCTCACTCTCATTTTCCCACTCACTCTAGCTTCTTCTCCCTGCTTGAGCCTTACAACCCATAGTATTATCCCTGGTTACTTTTATCTTTTACTTATTTTTGGTTATCCCTGCTTCCTGAATGAATGTGAATGTCCTTCCTACTTTCCTGGCTTCCAAAACAATACCCTACAAGAAGCAAGTGAGACCTAAAGAGGTGCCGCTACAATCTACATACGAAACTCCAGCAACATTTGTTCTTCTGAGCCTTGTTTATTCCTCAGTTACATCTATTTTTAAGTTCTACACGTTTCTCTGAAAATTTCATTTTTCTTCACAATTGAATAAAGTTTCACAATGTGTGTACCATGCCTCATTGCCCATTCATCAATAGAAAACAACCACAGAGCAGGGAGAGAGATTAGAGGCACAGATCATAAACAGCTGCACACCCCTCTGTTCTCGGTTTTGCCAGAACTCAGGATTCAGAGAAGAAAGAAAAAAGGGATTATGTGATACTTAACATATCACGGCTTCAGTAGACTGCAAAAAAAGGAGGATGTTGAAGGTAATATTGAGATGGTGGGAGGCTCAGGTTAGGAGTGGAAGAGCTGGCTTCTGAATAATTCTTCTTCAGATATCTTTTATGTCTTCCAATCTGAAGTCTTAGAATTGAAAATTCTCTGGAGAAACACAGTCTCTCTCTTTCTTTTTAAAGTGAAGTTAAGGACTCCAGGGACAAAACCATCTCCACTTCTTATCTTCTATGTATAATCTCCATAATCTGTTGGGACCTGACTTAAAACTGGCTGGCTGGTCAACCAGTAACCTTTCAGGACTTTGTTTTTTCTGTTTTTGCTTTACTCATCCTGGCTGGACAGTTCATCCTTCCAGGAAAGCCCTGACATGAATCATTCTCAGAATTTACCAACTTAGAGCTCAAGAAGTAATTCTGGAATTAATTAATGACTAAGTTCATGATGAATGTTTAGTAAATGTACAATTAAATATCTCACCCAGTTAAAGAAGTCAGTGAAGCACAGAGAAAGTAATTTGCTATAGTGAGACTGACCTGGACCTTGAGCCTTCTGAGCTGACTGATCCATTCTCCAGTAGTCATGGGTCATAATAGAAAGTCGTTGACATCAGTCCCAGGGAAAATATTATATATATGAATCCAATGAAAACAGGTTCTCAATGACTATACTCACCTGGACACACCAACTTATTTGCTTTCATCCCTGAAGTCATGGCAACAAACAAACAACTACACACCTATTAGGTATTGGTAAACTTAGGGTGTGACTCTCTTGATAGAGGCAAGGAAAAAGAGCTTTGGCTCTTTTTCCATTATTATCTCCTTTTGTTATCTGCCCATGGCTGTTTGTGATTGTGTAACAAGCACTAAGACCCTTGGTTGGCCTCAGCCTCCACTCTACCTCATTGGTTTTTGCCATAAATTCTTTAAAAAGAAATCCCTGAAATTACAGCTTGATGGTAGCCCTCCTTCTCCTATATGAAAGTTACTACCTCTCTCTATCTCTATCTCTCTTTCTCTCTCTCTCACCTCTCTCTCCCTTTTCTCTCTCTCTCTTCCTCTCCTTTAAACTCATTACAAATATAAAAAATAATAATGAGGATATTTTACAAAAACTCTAAAGATCATCCTCTATGGCCTATAAATTTTATTCCCCAAATTTGAGAGACAAGAACCCAAACATCACTGGCTTCAGTTGGCTTGGTTGCCTTCACATTTCTGGAACCCCACCTCCTAAGGAAGGTTCCATCATCTTCAGAGACACACTAGTAATCCAATATTATACACATGAATACTCCCAATGTCAGTGGCTAAAGCTTTACAAGGTCTCAGATAAGGCAGAGAGCAGTAAGAGAAACACAAGATTTTTTTTTTCACACAGAGAGTGAGATAAGTCCAAAGGGAAATGAAAGGATTTTGAAAATATCCAAAAAAGTGTATATATATATATATATTGAGGAGGGGGTAAGATATCTTGGTAGTTAAGAGCCTTACTGTTCTTACAGAAGACCCATAGCTTTAGCTCCATAGGATCTGACATTGTTGACCTCCCTGGGTACCAACACTCACACAAGCATGCCCACCGGTACACGCACTCATAATTATACATATGACCAATACATAACTGAATAAACAAAAAATGCTGTTGAGAGGAAGAAGAAAAGTAAATCTTAAACTGTGATATGGTAAGGAATGAACCTGCCTACTGTGTGACTTGGAGGACACTGGGAGATGTGGACACAGCCCCTTCAAATTGTACTGATTGGGCAGCATATACACCTTAGCAGAAATCCCAAAATCAGCTCTGAGGGCCAAACTAACATGGATGAAGAGAAATGTCTCATCATGAGAAGTTGAGCGTTTTGTTTCTGAAGCCCAGAAACCTACAGAGAGCTCACAGACGCACAGACATGTGCTGCAAGGTACCTGATCATAACCCTAACACTGTAGGAAAATGTGGCCTGACTAGCCCCAAGATCATATTTAACACCTTTGAATTCACTGTCTGACAAAGTAGATCTTTCTGGTTAATCAATCATCTCTGGACCCTGAGGCCAAGGTTTGTCCTCTTCTTTTCCCCTCCCACATACTTAAATACTTAAACAGTACCTCTCTTTTTGGGTCTGTTCCCAAAGGACCAGGACCTCCAGCAGATACTTTTATGGGTAGAGAAATTCCCAAACACTTGTGTAAAATGGTTTTGAGGGAACCATGCACGTCTCGTGATCTATGACCCCGACTACATGAAGGTGTGATACTGGGGTGATCAGGTGAGAGTGCAACAGCATTGTAGCTTCAGTAGAGAGGCTTCACAACCAGGGTACACAACCTGGGTCTGTGACATTTTAGAAAGCAATGCCACCTTAGCCATCCATTTTTAAGTACTACTGCTCATTCTCCTTGGTAACACCCACATATTTATGAGCACTTAGCTTTCAAAGCTATAATTGTTGGTTTCTTGGGGTCTTAGAATTACAAAGCCACAACTAACTACAGAAGAACCATTAAGGTTTTCTTACTCTTTGGCTTTGAAAACATGACTTGTGTTTCTTAGTGAACATCATTGTGACTGAAACACTTAGTTCTGGTGCAATGGAGCCTGTCTTTTGGGCCCAACTGTGAGAACTGCTATAGAAAAGGAATTGAAGCAGGGGTATAAAATGGCCACTGAAAGTCATCAAGAGTTTATGACAGGCCACAGTGTGAAAAACAGCTTGTTTGGGCTTTTAACTTGATCTGCAGGAAGCTGTTCATACCTTTCTTCTCTTCCAGATCCAAAAGTTACACACTCCTACAGTTTCTATGCTCCCTGGATTGGTATGTATGCTTAAACTGGGACTGAGAATACTACCCACTTAGCTTTCCCACCTGTTGCCTATGATCATAGGGTAGCAGGTACTTGTAGCCTGTGCTATGACCTCTCCTTCAATCAAGTCTTATTTCTCTTCTTCTAGCTAGACTCTCATTCCTACCTAATGCTGAGCCTGACTGAACCTCAGCTTTTGGCAAGTTGTTCCTCTGAACTTCCAACTGGAACTTCTGCTCTTCAAGACTTTTTTTCAACCTTTATCTCACAGCTGCCATAACCCCAGCAATCATACCAGTCTAACTGTAAGATTTCCATTTCTGAAATGCACTGTGTCGTTTATGCCATTGTCTAACAAATTCTACTTTTCTCAGAGATGTTTTGCATTTTTCAAACCATAATTCCTTCCAAATTGTCCAAAAGATGTATGAGTCTCTCTTCCTTCAATAAATATGTATTCATATCTCTGGCCCAGGCTATGGTTTGCTCCTGTTGAATGGGAAGAAATGGTTCCAGCTTCAGCGAATGTTAACTCGAGCCTTCCACTATGACATTCTTAAGCCTTATGTAGGAATCAAAGTGGACTCTGTCCATGTGCTGCTAGTGAGTATCTGGCTGGCTGGCTATCAATCCATTTATCTATCTATCCATCTATCTATCTATCTGCCTATCTATCTCTCAACCTATCTGTCTTCTAGCTAGCTAGCTATCACTGCCTCACTTCCATACCTTTTCATTCTGTTTCTCTCCCTTCTATCCCTCCTTTCTCAAGGTGCATATGATTCAACACTCATTGTCCCAACCATATCTATTACATATATTCATATGGACTAGCACCCATGCCATTACTGCACTAGGGAGTTTCCCCAATCTGGATAAACCATATGCAGGATCAAGCCATACTGGAATCATTTTTCAAGGCAGAGAGCACCACTTGATTATAAGCAAAAGCTATCATCGCAGTGGAATCCCAACAGACAGCATGACTATAAGTTCCATAACAAGAAATGTTGGCTTCATTGTAAGAAGGAACTTCTAAGAATGCCACAAAATCAAGCTTTGTAGACATTGTGAGTAACTCAAGGTCAACATCTTCATACCTAAACATGCCACACTATAATCATCCACTGGACTCTGATTTGTGACTTCACAGTACCTAATACAGTTTTGATGAGTGAGAAAAAATTAAATGTGTGATAGTCTTGATGAGGCATATTCATGGTGGCCAGCAGGCTTTCTTCCATTCCCACATTTTTTTCATATATGTGTTTCTTCTGGGTCCATGAGTCTAGTTTATCCATCAGAAAACTGAAGGGTGATACAGGCCTTTTTGATCAACTGAAAAGTCACAATTATTTTCAAAAATGTGAAAAATGTGATCTGACACCATGGAAAGATATATTGATTCTGTTAATTTTGTGGTAAACAGATATCAGATGATAAAATTTTGCTTTATGCTCTGTTTTCCCTGATCTCCAAGGTGGGAGACTCTGATCATATCATCTGTAGACTCAGAGTAAGATTACAGTCTATTTACTACAAGTATTCAGTTAAAAATCAGATAATTCTCCATTCTTACTACAGGACAAATGGGAGCAGCTTGTGGGACAAGACTTCCTCTGGAGATCTATCAAGACATCTCCTTGATGACCGTGGAGACAATCATGAAGTGAGCTTTCAGTTACCAAGGTAGTGTCCAGTTGGAGGAGTGAGTAGCAACTATTGAGCTGAAGGATTCTTGATGTCCCAATCATTGTGGACTTACTTGAAGGCAGGTTATGGGGCAATCAGATGCTTATAGCCACCAAAAAGCAAGGTTCTGACCCAGCTCTAGCCTTATTAAACTCCAAACCAGATGCAATCCAGAATAAGCACCCATGAGAACCATAGCAAGTACAGAAAGCCTGGGTGGTCACCTGTCTTTAAAAGCTTAAGAATCAAAATTGCCCTAAGACGTAAATGTGCTGTACTTCAGTTATGTACCACAGTTGGAAAATGAGGGAATATCTACAGATAATTTACTGTCT